CCTTTAAACCTTTTTGAATATGAAATATATTTCAAGTGTCAGACACACACACACACACACACACACACAGGCTTTCAAGCCTTGAAACAGATATTTTGAGTGTGAAATGGGTTGTTTTGGTAATTTTGGAAGGAGCTTAGAATCCACCTTTTGAATTCAAAACAAGGCGCTATGAATTCAGAACAGTTCAACTTAAACGCAATTTATTTAGAGCAGGCTGGGGAATTCTGGGAGTTGAAGTCCACCAGTCTAAAAAGTTGCCAAAGTTGGACACCCTGATTTAGACTCAAGTATTTTTCAAAATAAAACTCCTGTTTACGATTGTACTTTCTTCTAACTCCTTGATTCCACTCTTGCAGTTATCACCGTTGTGAATTCAAGATCCCACTCGTTATTAAACGAGGTAAGAAAGAAGAATATTTGGCAAAAGATGCATGTGAATGGAAACATCTACCATGAATGAATGATTCTATGATTCTAGGCCATTTTTAATGTGTTTTAAAAAAAGGTTTTAACAAAGCAAAGTTGAGGGTAAGCCCAAAGTTACGGCGTGTGAAGCTAAGACTTTTAAGTTCAATATGGCCAACAACATGGGGGAATTTACAAAAGATTAAAAAAACAAAACAGAAAGATGAAAACTAACACTCACATCCTAGTATATCCCCTTGGTGTATGAGATAGTCCTCGACTTACAACCACAGTTGAGCCAAAAAGCGAGACGGTTATTAAGTGAGTGTTCCCCATATTTTACAGCCTTCCTTGCCACAGTTGGGAAGTGGGTCCCTGTAATTGTTACATTAGTAACACGGTCATTAAGTGAGTCTGGCTTCCACATGGACTTTGCTTCTTAGAAGGATCGCAAAAGGTGATCACATGACTCCGGGACACTGCAACCGTCATAAATATGAGTCAGTTGCTAAGCATCTGATTTTGATCACATGATTGTGGGAATGTTGTAGTGGTTGTAAGTGTGAAAAGCATTCAACATCCACACTCACACTTCAGGAAATATTTAAAGAAACCTCGATGAACTTTATCGAAAACTTTTCTGCTGTCCCAAAGGTTTTTTTTTTTTTTTCAAAAGGCAACTGGGACTTTGTTTTTCCCTGAAGATGTTTCACTTCTCATCCAAGAAGCTTCTTCGGTTCTTTTTTTTTTTTAGTTCCAAGTTTTTAATTTTTTATAAATATATGAAACCAATGCATGAACAGTGTGGCACCTGGGTGTGAGACATTCTAATAGAAATAAAACTAGTAAAGTTAATCATAATTATTACATTCATTCCACTTATGTATTTCTAATAATAATACACATTTATAATAGGTTGCAATCTATCATTGTTCAGTTGTCCCATGTTTTCTCTTGTCGTTACTTCCATTTTATTATATAAACGTTGTCAATCAGAAAGGTCAGCAGTTTGGCGGTTCGAATCCCTAGCGCCGGGTAATGGAGTGAACTGCCGTTACTTGTCCCAGCTTCTGCCAACCTAGCAGTTCGAAAGCACGTAAAAAATGCAAGTAGAAAAACAGGAACCACCTTTGGTGGGAAGGGAACAGCATTCCGTGCAACTTCTGTGTTTAGTCATCCTGGCCACATGACCACGGAGACGTCTTCGGGCAACGCTGGTTCTTTGGCTTTGAAACGGAGATCAGCACCGCCCCCTAGTGTCAGGAACAACTAACACATATGTGCGAGGGGAACCTTTACCTTGTATATACTAGTATTATCCCTTCTCTTATTTCTATCACTTATTCTAGCTTTTCATCATGTCACCCTTTATTAAAAGACTTTCTCCTGT